CAGTTTGAGACACTTGAAGGTGTGAATCTGGGCATTTGGGATCGCTGGATCATCGGACGCCTGGCAGAGACCTTGTCTGTCTGCTCGCAGAGCTACAGCAACTACAATTTCCACTTGGCCACAGCAGCCCTAAAGACCTTTTTCTATCAAAATCTCTGTGATACTTACTTGGTGAGTTTGTTGTCATTCAATTGTTAATGTACTGACCCAAAAGCTCCTAAAATCGACAGGAAACCACCAAAACTGCGATAGCAAATCATACTGTTGATGCCTACATTCATGTTGGCACCCTGACCGCTTGCCTTAGCTGGGGTCTCCAGGCCATGGCCCCATATACTCCCTTTGTGGCTTCCGAGTTGCTGCAACATGTGCCCCTTAATATTGAGCTAAAACTTTCCGAGTACAAGGATGAGAAGTTGGACGAAGAGATCAACGAAATAGTGAACATCTGCCAGAATGTGCGACAGATTAAGAGTCGCAATGAGATCAGCAAGCGGCACCAGCCGCACCTCAGTTTGTTCGCCCAGAGTACGGACTCGGAAGGAGTGCTACGTCGTCACCTACCGCAGATCAAGGTGCTCACTCGCTGCGAGGACGTGGAACTGGAATTGCTTGACGAGAGCGAAAAGATTTCAAAGCAACTCAGCTTCTTCTCAACGGCAGGGGCACTTTGTTCCTTTGGCTTGAAGGTGAGCGATGGATTGGCCGTGACGGCGGAAAAACGCGACGAGATGCAGCTGGCCAATACTAAAAAACTGAAGAAGCTGGTCACCGAACTGCAGCGGTATCGTATGCGTCTGGATAACGAAGCGTTCCAGCTGATGGCCGACAAGAATGTTAAGACGCATTTCGAAACTAAGGTAATGTGCCTAAATTATTTCTCCTCCAGCTATATTTTTTCTACTCGTTTTTTATTGCAGGTCAAGGAGTTGGAGGCGGAAATCAACAGTCTCACGCGGCTGGCAGTGTCGTCCTAATCCACTGCATACAAATAAGCTTAGATAATGCCATTCTTGTTGTCTCACAAACGCCTAAGTCAAGTCATCTGTTTGTTTAGAATTAAAGACTGCAATATTTATTAAATGCGCAAAGTACCTTTAAAAGGTACTAGTACCTGTAGTCTAATCCAAATATGAACATCTGTTAGGAAAATTTCGACATTTCCTTTTTAAGCCGCTAACTCTTCTGTCCCATAAACTGCAAAATAGAACATATATTTTTTTAATTAGTTGTAAATTCCCATTAGATCATTTTTGCTAATTGCCAAGTTCACGAAATCAAACGAATATTGGTTTAAATCGGAAATGATTATTGTTTTTACACTTTCGAATGTTAATTAAGGTTTTATTTACCAGCTGCTTTGTTCAAATTCCTCGAAAGGATCCCCAATTTCTCTTTGCCAGATATGTAGCCCGGTTTGTGTTGTTATGCTATGATTATCAAGTCTTTTATTTTATACCATATTTACAGAATTGGACATGCGTTCTGCGAATACGACAAGTAGAAGCCACGATTGGATATGTCCATATCCTCATTTCCATCGGTGACTGTATATACAGCGAAGGGCTTCGCCGATGTGGTCGTGGATACCAGACCCAATCCACAAAAGCGATCGCTAGGCATTGAAACTCCGCCCTGCGTTGGCGCCGGAATGATGATGTAGTCGGTGGTGCATTCCTGGCTCTGAACAGACGAGGTGGCCAGCAGAGTCGGATCCACTGCACCCACATCGTTGGTCAGGGTAAAGGAGTACGTATCGGAGCCAACCTGGCTGTAGGTGATAGAGCACATTCCCGCTGCCTTCCGTATGCAAATACCGTAGTTCGTGTTGGCCAACTGCCTGCTGCCCTGCACTCCAATGGAATTGAGAGCGGAAGCAGCTGCCGAATTGTAGTTAAAGCTGGCCAGGGTGCCGCTGCTGGGCATATAGTATTGCAGGCATCCGGCCGGAGCTAAAGTGGCCGACGAGCATCCCAGCATCCTAATCTGGAACTGCCAGTTGCGGTTGAATGTATAACCACCGGAGGTGGCCACTGAGATGGTGATCGGATTGACGCCGTTAAAGTCCACATACACATGCTGACCGGCGTTCTCGCCACAAATGCTGGGCACTTGCGAGGCACCTCCACTGATGGTCAAGGCATCCGTGGAGCAGGATCCATCGCCCGACGGTGGAGCCAGCGATAGGGAAAGGAAGTCCACACGCAGCTGGCAGATCGTCGAATCCGGTGGGGTGACCACAATGGAACACCGTCCGCCGCCGCCATATGGTGCCGGATAATTGCTGTTGTAAAAGTAAGTATTATTGTAGGAAGTACTTGCTCCACATGTCCGTTGATCTGCAAGGATAATTCGTTATTGAGTACTTTTCCGAACACTTCCGAAAGTACTTACAAATGCAGCAAATGGCCTGCGCTGTGATGGAGGAGCAGCTGCCCGCCGCCACTCCGCTGTTGTCCGAGCACTCTCCGTTGATTACGCAGGTGCCCAGGAGCAGGTTGTTGCCCACACAAATGTCGTTGGAAAAGCGGCCGATTGTATAGAAGGGAAACCCTAGAAACGAAATATATGGTCATTGGAATGACATTGTGAAAGTGCCTGGATAATCCGAGGGAATTATGACCGAAGGGGTGGGAGTAGGTAACATTATTATTCTATACTTTTCTACTGATAATTTTACAGTAGTAACTTATTAACTAAAATACAAGTCTTGTTACGGAAAATGTAGATGCGATCTAAGAGATGATTGAATCAATTTTGATCCTTGTTAAAGGAAACAAATAAATAAAAATACTTATACTTTTTTATCAACAACTGGAAATTAAATCGCAAAACAATTCAAAAATGACTGAGCGAGGCCTCACTTTATGTTTCAAATTGCACTGCGCAAATGGAAACGTTTTCCGCGGAAGCTATGATGATTGTAGGGCATGGGGACAGCTAAGACTAAAGAATCCACATGCGATACATGCACAGTGGGTGATAATTGAGGTCTGACCCACATACTTCAACAAACGGCCAGCATTCATCCGGTCAGATCTCGTCAAGAGTAACCTGCTGGGGGGAGCTAAAACTTACAGCGAGGATGTCGCGATCCACTGCGGGCCAAGCTGGAGTTACCGTCCTCCGAGAGGTGGATATCATTCGCCAGGATCACGGATTCATTGGCCTTCGACTCTGGAGCTAAGGACAAACTGCTGGCACGTGCCGCACTGTATATGCCCACTATGTAGCTGCTGAAGAAGATGGCCACGAGGGCCAGAAGCTGCGAGGAACGGCCACCGGCAGACATGATGGTTGGCTGTCGTACGGATCACTTTCGGTTTTCACTCGGGGAGCTGGAGCTGGAGCTGGAGCTAGAGGTGCTGCAACGGAGCTGGGACGGATTGGCTACCGGTCGAGAGACGCGTTCACTCGCTCGTGTGACACAATGGATACTGAGCCGATGGAGACCATAGTTTTGGGGGCACAGTCGGATGTGCCAGCCCAGTGGGCTGCTCAGGTGCTAATTGAGAGAACCCGACCACCTATGCACCGTCTACAGGGACGGCTTCCGAACTCCTAAAGATTACAATTATTCAAGCATGTTTGTGCTTCCTATTGCATTTCATTTTTCAAATCTTAGTTAATGAACAGCACCTTATCCTATATTATCCTATAAAAAATATAATCAATTTATATTATATACTTGCTTAATGCTAATAAAATCCAATATTATCTAAAATAATTTAATAAATTCTAACATATTTTAATGTAATTCAATGTCAACTTATATAATCTAATATAATATAGTATTTTAAAATATGAAAAATTAAACTACATTTTAAATGTCGAATATAATCATGAGATCTTTTAATACCATATTTAAAATATTTTAACCACCTTAAAGATATGGAACTCTGTATGCTTCGTACCCATTTGCTTTTCTCAATGGGAGAGTTTCACCATGTGATTACCACCTCGATCCGCTCCTGTCCGGAGATCGTGTGGCGCCCATTTCACCTGGTCAGGGAGAGAATGTGGAGCACTCACGCATGGGAAGTGCTCGACTTCTAACTCGTATTGGCTTTAATGGTTACCCGAATTTACGCGTACCGCTTCTAGACAAAAACAAACCAATTTCTGGGCGAGGAAAGTGATAGAAATGGCCTGGCACTGATACCCAATTTGACGGGCTTCGCACGCGTACTGCGCCGCATGATTCTCCGGATCGGATAATAGAAAGTGTCCGTCTGTTTGCTCTGCTCTGCTCTGCGGTATGTAAACCCATCTTCTTTCCGCTCGAGCCAGTTTTAGTGGCTATAAATAAAATCGAAAACTCGGCTCCATTGTGATCCATCCGTTTACAGACCAGACCATGATGATGTAACGGTACCATCTAGGTGGATTTGGCGCGTGTTTTAGAGTGAGCAAGGGCTGGTTACTGATCTAATTGGGTGTATTTACTAGAACACAGCACGACACGCACGACGCCAATTAGCAGGACATCACTAATCGCCGACTAAGACACTAATTAAGGTTTAATCCCAAAAGGAAGGTAAAAGTGGATTGGGTTGGATTGTTTTCCAGGGCGATGCTTAGAAAGTTGCAAGTGATTTGTGATGTGCTGCCTTGCCAACAGCGGTCTATATAAGTTACTTGGAGCACGATTAGGGCTTTGTGGACTACATTTTCAAACAAGTGTTTTCACAGTTTCAAAAAACATGCAATTTTTTTAAAACCGTTTTTCCTTCTAGCATAGTTCTATATTGGTTTAATATTAACCTTAATACAATTAAGTAGAGGGACATAAATAATTGTATTTTATAAATGAACAAAAGGTCTGAAGAATGCTCAAAAGGATTTAGCCAACAATATAAATTATAAGTTGTATGCCTTAAAATTAAGTACAGGATTCACAACAGTGAACATAAAAACTATTTTTTAGGCAAAAAGTATTTTTACTTTAACGTGTCTTCCTGCTTTGCAAAATTTATATGTTTAGGAAATATAACAAAACGTAAAGTTTACAGCAAATGTTGCCTGGCTTTTTATTAAAACAGTAACTAGCAGCTAAACGCAAAAAGGGAAAACGAGGCAAAGGCACCGTTGCCGCTCCTACTCGATCTCGATGATGGCACCCGCCTTGGCCAGAGCCTCCTTGAGCTTCTCGGCCTCCTCCTTGGGGATGTCCTCCTTGACGATGGTCGGTGCGCTTTCAACGAACTTTTTGGCCTGGACCAGGTTCATGCCCTCCAGTAGGTTTTTCACCTCCTTGATCAGCGCCACCTTCTGCTTCTCGTCGAACTTAACCAGCTTGACCTTGAAGGAGGTCTGTACCTTCTTGGGCGCCGCCTCCTCCTCATCCTCGGCGGGAGCAGCACGTGCCGGCCCAGCGGCGAATTGTGGGGCAAATGCGGTCTCGGGCAGGTTCAGTTTCTGTTTGAGCAGGGTGGTCAGCTCGGCCACCTCGAGCAGATTGAGGGCAGCGATGTTGTTGACAATCGAGTCCAGTTTGGGATTGGGTGGCTTGGCGGCTCCTTCCGGCGCGGGAGGCACCAGTTTTTCGACTCCCGAGACTGCGGCGGCCGGAGCCGCTGCACTGTACATGCGATGCAGCTGCACTTGGCGCGAAATCTGGCGCAGGGCGAGGCGTGTGATGTGCATCTTATTGGTATCTGCAAGTTCTAAGTTAGTAAAGTGCTGAACTATCATTTATAATCCATTTATTACGATTTCCGGGTGACAAAATAAATTCTTTGGGCCGCAGCAGCAGGTTATGTGAGCAGTTTATCGATAAACAGCCAGGGCTGCAAGCCTATCTTGGTAGAATGGCATTACCATGCTTATATATGGTTTATAAATTAACGTAAAAATACCGCAAAACAAATTATTAATTTCTAAGTTATTTAGTTTTTGCTGGCTAGTTATTTCCATAATAATGAAGAATAATCCATATTGATTTGAAAAATAAACAGAACTATAAAATATTTGGATTAGCATTTCTCATAATAAAATGTTTTGCCAAAATGTATGTATTGCCAAATGTTTAAAAAATGTATTGTTTAAATTAAAATGGTCTTCGCTTTATTTCGTAACTTCGTAATTTAATTACAGAGCTTACAACGAGTAAACCTTGACGTAGTCGATCTGTAGGTGGCCCTCGTCCAGCCAGTGGTCCCTGTTCTTCTTGACGTCATTCCAAAAATCCTTCTGCGCCCGCGGGGCCTTCTCGTTCCAGGGCTTGACCTCGTGCTGGTACTCGTTGAACCCGCCCACGCTGAGTCCAAAGCTCAAGTAGAACTCCTGATCGAAGGGCGCCAGTCCAGTGCCCTCCTCGAGTTTCTGGGCCTGCGGCAAACTCTTTCCGCCGGCTGTCGTCTCGCTTAAAGCTCCCTTAGCACTTCCCTGGACACACCACTCCCTGCCGTCCACCAGCCAGCGAAGTTCCCTGGGCGTCCATTCGAGGGTGTAATTGTGGAAACTATCGCTCCAGTCCTCGGAGTTATCTCCAGTACCTGGCTTCAGGCAATTCTTGGCCGATCGCAGGGGCTCATCTGCGAAGAGAACGGCCGCGCCATACAAATCCAGGTAACCTCCATTCGGACGGGTATAAGCGATTCTCAGTTGTCCGGACTGATAGTTTTCCACTCCGTAGATGGGACGCTTGGGCTGTAGCCAGATTTGTGGGGTTACCCATTTTGCCCGCGGCATTTTGGCTCGCACCTCAACGCGGCCGTATTTGAAGGAGAAATCCTTGGAGGAGAACTGAGCGGTGACCATCGGCGGAAGTCCGTCACTCAGGGTTCGGCCATCTCTTACACAGTCGTGGGTATTCGCTAGTCCCGTGCACTTTTCACCCAAATCCAAACGTTCGTGTGATCCCTTCCTGAATTGTTTCTTCATCGTGTTCGTTGAGAGCACCACATGACCATTGGCTAAGCACAAGGTTTCCGGAGCGTCATCCACGTAAACATTAAACTCGTAATCGGGTTTATCGGCAAACCTGCGTTCCGATTTCCACTTATTGGGATCCAGCTTTGAAGCGTTGAACTCATCCACGAACACCAGCTGTCCGGCACAGCGAGTGGGTGCTCCATTGACTTCGGTCTTGGGAGTGGTGCAACCCAACCTTATATCGATATCCGGATCGGCAGGTGGAGTCCAGGGTTTTGTCGAAACTGGCACAACAGGTGGGCGGGGTGAGTCATTGTTACCACTGTAGTCAGTGACCACAAACGACCCGTCGTCTTCGCGATAACCCAGCCCGTTGTAGATAACGTAGGTCCAGTAGTACAGGGTGTCGCCGGGCTTCAGTGCCGTCGTCCGATCCCGGAAGGTCCAGCGTCCGTTTTTCGCTTTGACAATGTCCCGTGCCCAGGTGCCAGCCTCCAGGCCCTCCATCTCCTCATTGAGTTTGCCATGGAAAGCGAACAGGCTGATGCCCTCCCCGTCGGGAATGGAGACCTCGAATCCTTTGGGATAGAAAACCTCGATCTGAGCCTTGGGTACTTCATATCCCTGAACGCCAAGGATAAGAAGGCAGCAGCTCCAGGCCACAAGACGCAATGCATCCGCCATTGTGGGAATAACAATCAAAACTGCGATGAGCGGTTAGACAAGTCGGGCTTGGAAATCTAAAGCTTATCAGAACCGGTCGAGGCTTTGTTTATAGTGCACTGCGAAAAAGCGAACACCTCTCAGTCTTGATGCGTTATCGCGGATTCTAGAGTCTAAAAGCTTAGGTGCAGCAATGTTAGTATGTGTCATTTGTATTGTCTAAGTAGCTAGATAAATAACAATGGTCGGTCTAAAGAAGAATAAACAGGAAAATAATTATAATAAGGGTTTAAATATAAAAATATTTTAAATTGTATTATTTTCTCCGTGTAATATTTTTTTGAGTGGGTTTGCCCATCTTTAAAGAAGATTTACACACCTATGTATAAAAAGAATTTGGGTATTTCCCAATCACAGTGTACATTTTTGCGAGTATAAGTAAGAACAAGAGTATAAATAAGAAGAGCATACGAACATACCATCGAATTAAGAAGGTATAATGTTCTCTAAAACACGATTTTAAGGATTTCAAAAAGCCCGCTTGATTACCGGCGAGGTTGCGCAACACTGTCGTATCAGCTGTTTGTGTTCCATCGATAGTTCTGCTTCTGGTATATCGCTTTAGGGCATTTTAGGGCATATCAGTAAAACTATGAAGCTATTATGTTAATAGTTTCCATAAGTTAGTAATTTAAATAATACTCATATCCTAAAACTTAACCTTAAATAAAAATGGGGTGCATAGCACCCTTACCCTATTGTGCATACCAGGGTAAAGGGTATTTAGCAGCCGTTACACAAGCCAAATAATAAGCTTCGCCGCGTAGCAGGCGACGAACTTCGATGAAATTCTGAGTCTCGTCCGTGTGTTCGTCTGATTAGCTTTCGTTCTCTCGGCAGAAAAATTTATAGAAAATATCACACACGGGAAAAAACAAAAACATGTACATATTTTTGTAAAATATTTAATAAGCGAGCAAGACACTGCGTACACGTATATTTTGTGGTTTCGCATTTTCGACAGTGTTTTTGTGCAACTATTTGAAAGATTTGGCCAAACGCGAAACGCAACGCAAAGAGGAAAATAAAAGACAATAACAAATTCGCAGCGCGTGTGTCGGTGAGTGTGTATGGTTGCGTGCGTGTGTGCTGCTGCCAAAAGAACGCGGATATAAACAATAATCCAATTGGATCGTTGGGGCTGTTTTGTTATTGTAAGTAATGCAGATTTATGTAATTCGCTTGTGTGTGCTTTTTTGACCAGTCTTTGTTGTTGTTGCTGCGCTAAGAAAACAGCTGTGGCGTTGCCAGATAGCATATCACTTTATGTAATTCCTTATCGGTCTGAATTACGCTTAATTGCAGTGCTTAGCTTAATTGTTGCAACATTGTGGGGGAGGGGGGCATTATTTATTTTCCTACCCAATTACGAGTGACATGTAAAGTTATCGATGTATCGATTGCCGCGCTTACATGGCCACACTGCGCCGTCGCCACAGCAGCGTCCCAAGCAGCTGTTGTTGTAAGGTTCTTGTTATAGGGTAGGGGGGTCGGAAAAGCGGATGGGGTTTGAAAAGCACACAGCACGAAACACCGCACGAAAGCAAAACAAGAGAGAATGATTGATTTTTCGTCGTGCGTCTTCGGGAAATGTAGCCGAGGGGCAGCTTCGCGGAAAAGCGGGCAGCAGTGAAAACTTTTGGTATCACAGTCGTTGCTGACGAGCGGAAGGGACCGCAGCTCGGGAAAAACTTGAAAAGAGAAACACACGCGAGGGCGCTCTTCTTATATTTGAAAATTAATTGCAATCGAATGGCGCAAAATAGTCACAAAGTGTAAATAGTTAATATCGTTTTCTAAGCAAAAATTACCAGTGTGAATGATTTGCTAGTGCTGTTAAAAATATCTACCGTTGTGCGGAAAGAGGAAATCGAGTGCAAAGGAATTTTCCTACGTCACAGGCTGTGCGTTTGTGTGAGTGTGCACCCCCGGAAATGTAACACGCACACTGGCGCAGTGAAAAACTTGCACCTGAAAGTTTTCGTCGTGTTTCCACCTTCGTGCGCGCTCGGCATTCGACATAACAACAAAAAAAATTGAATAACGCAGCAAAAGGTTAGTTTTCCGCTTTTCAGTGCACCTGTCAAAGATCCTATTTAAAATTCGGACTTATTTGCCCCAGTTTTTATCCAGGGCTGGCATTATCTACCGTTAGCGCGTGTGTATATTATGTGAGTGTGCGTGCTAGTGTATGTATGGGTGTGTGTGTGCGAGAGTGTGTACGTAACCAATTGGAACTGGGGCAACTGGCAAATACGGCAACGAATCGGTGGAGCAAAGCAAACGCCGCAATAAACCCCTAAAAAATCTCCAACCCCGTGAAGCAAGCGCGAGAAAAGCTGGCTGAAAGCTGCAACTTGGCCCAGTTACTTTAGCTCTAATTGCAGACGTGATAATAGAAGTGCACACAAAGCATAATATTTTTTAAGGGGTGTGTGTGGGGCCAAACCAAGAAGAGGAGAATACAAAAAAGAAGCAGCAGCATGACAAACAAAAACAAACTTCATTTGCCAAGAGTCTTTCAACCAAATTTGTTTGCCCACACACTCGTAGATACGTATAGAGATACAAAGATACAATTACGTTTACAAATACTTTTCCATGTTTCTCGGTTTCTCGAGTTCTCGAGTTTACAAACAAAGTTTATGATTTTGGGGGTGGCAGGTAGAATAACTGGTTTTTAAATTAACACTTTGCCACATTCAGGGGTAGTTTTTTAATGGGTTTCTTCGTTTCACTTTAAAGCATTATCACCAAATACCAGTTAAGATTTCATATTCGCTGCACACCCTAGATACATTTTTCATTGAAAAAAGTTTAAAAAGATTGGAATGGGTAGTTTTCTTCACTTGAATAACAATCCATTATTGTAATATTTTTTTTGGGATAGTTTGAATAATTAGAAGAAAGATTGAAATGAAAAAATGAGGTATATTTCGATAACATTTTGGATTGTAATGAAATCTTAAATAAAATTCAATACTAAATAAAAGATTAACAAAAGTTCAAGGAAAAAGTAACAAATCTAAACATACACTACACCAAAGGTAACGTGAAAGATATCTTTAAATACTTCAGAGTAACTTTTGTAGGAGAAGCTGCGAAACTTGAGAAAGTATCCCTAAATTGCCCCAATCCTAAATCGCCGCTCTTTTTGAAGCTGAGCCAAGCAGTCTGTGCTTTTGGCGGCACATTACACTTGTTTACTTTTCAAGTGTGCGTGTGCGTGTGTACGCCTGTGTGTATGTGAGTGAGTGCTTCGTGGTGTGTGTCTGTGTGTGCTCCATGGGGGCGTTACTGTCTTTGTTGTTGTTATTGCTTTACGTCCTCGTCGTCGTTTCTTCTTCGGCTCTTTTTTGGGGGTCGCTCTCGTCTCGTTTGTAGGGCAAAATTCTGTATTGATTATGCCAGTTTTATTTTCCTTTTGACCACATCCCCTGCCCAGATTCAAATTGGAAAAGTGTGGGGCACCTGCGGTCGTGTTTTTCATGCCCGACTGAGCCATTTCATTGGCACAACGATTTCGTTGTCTCTGCATTTAACTAATTAAGAGCCCCAGTCTACACCCATCTCCCCCCTTTTTCCGAACAATAGACGTTTTCCGGTCGCTCAGCCCAAAATGAAGTGCGTGTCCAGGGACAGACGAAAAGCTTTAGAAATTGGATAGTTTAGTGCACACGAGGAAATTCTCAGATACTTTGCATATTTTATTTGTAGCCGAAAAAATGTAAATATCTAGCCGTATTCCCTATATTTTCAAAAAAGAAACTTCTTAAGAATGAAACCGTACATTGCTTATGTGAATTCTCCTTAAAGTATGCAACGTATTCTTTAACATTAGTTCTTGGGAGTATTAGGAAACTTTTCTTTATTAATGATTTAATAATGATAATAATTTGATCACATTTGAGCAATTTAATTTTTCATTTTAATCTTTTCCACAAAGTAAGGGAAACTATAAGACATTTAACATAGCAAAGTGGCAGATATTTATTTCAGTGTTTTTATATGCTGTGCGTATTATATGCAAAATGGGTAGCATATTTGACCGACATCGGGAACAGCGGGCTCTGAAAAACGTGTGCCTCTGGGGTGGCTTTTGTAATTGGAAAAGCCATCAATTGTAATCCCCCACCAAGCGGGTTTTCACTTGAATAGCGCTACAAATTTAGAACTCGCTTCCCCATTATCAGGCCATATCTACACACTTTTATTACTCATACACAATATACGAAAAGCAAAAGTTTAGAATAGCACTTGTTTATTTGTTATTTTTGTGCCGTCGCTGGCAAAGTTGCCTTTTATCAATAATATGATTGATTGCTGTTCGGTTCCATTGTTTTTTCACGTCTTTTTTATGTTGTTGTTTCCACAACACGCATTGCACATTTTGTGACCCATTTTATCTTTGGCTTTTCGTTGTTAGCCCGATTAAAGAACGTGAATAGATAGAGCATTTTTTGTTGGCCATAAAAATAGCTCAGTCACATCGGAACGCAATTACCAATGCCCTCTTTGCAAACGATTAAGCCAATTTAGAATTTAAAGTTCAATGGGAAATGTACATACAATATATTGTCCGGGTAAGGATTTTATAAAATCAATATCATTACGTTTATTTAGTTACATTTATTTAGTGGAATTATAATATAAAGTGTATTATAATATCTTATCTTTGCGTTGGCCTAATTTGTATCCAAGTTCCCTGAAACTTCACTTAATAAACTAATTAAACTTATTATCTGATATGTTCTGGTTTTTCGTAGAACATTCGGCGAAAATAAATTTTCTTAGAAATGATTTTCTGATGAGCTGGCGAAGATCGGCCAAACGGTCACTGGCAAAAATGTATTAAGGGTTTTAAAAATAGGAAAATAAAAAATAATGTCAAATAGCTATTGCTGCTGCCTCTGCTGCTTTTGTTGTTGCTGCCACACTGCTGCTTTTTCGCCTTTTCCCCGTACGATTTATTTATTTTTAAACGCAATTACGTGCGGGTCTAGTGCTGCGATGGCAAATGGGAAGGGGGTGGTGTGGTGCGGCGAAAAGTGGGCGTGTGGAGGAGGT